GTGTATCTGCGTCAATTAGTTCACAATAATAATCAAGGTTCTTGGCTGTTTACACGTCTATGGAGCTCAAGCATCTCTTGGTGGTTAGGATCCAAAGAGAGAGCAACTCTACAGTCCCTGAGAGCACTTGTGCTATCGCCGATGTGCTCATGAAACGCAGCTCGAAGATGGAGGAGATGAAGATCAGCTTTGAATGCTATCGCCCTTGTTAGCTCGGCTATCGCCTCTTTCTCCTTGTGATTGTCCATCAATACTGATCGTATACAACAAATGAATGCCATAAGCAAAATGCAAAGTATATTTGTAGTATCAGCCTATCAGGTACGTTTGTCTAGAGTTCTAAGCACTTCAAACTATATTAAAATTTAATTTAGATAAGGAAAAAAAAAGTAGCTGCTTGTGGATGACAATCAACTAAATTTGAAGTTAAGACATTTTAGTTATTTGAAAATTACACGTAGGATGGTCCAGTAAGAAAAAATTAAAATTCAGGAGGGGTTTGTGAGACACCCCTAAGTTCAAGGGTTATGTGAAAAAAAATTAGGAGAGTTTGTGAAATTAACCGTAGACTCTTTTCCTTTTCCAAAATTAGGGGTTATGTGAAAAGAAAATTAGGGGAGTTTGTGAAATTAGGGGTCTGTGAGACACCCCGAATTTTTTTGTGTGGGGTTTGGTGGGGTGGGGGGTTGAGGTTAGGGGTGGTTTGTGAAATTAACCCTAGACTATTTTCACTGTTTTAAGTACATGCCTAGGCCTAAGCGGTACCTAGACCGCCAAACTAGCACCAAGCGCCTGGACAGTACTTAGGCTGCCCACCTAGGTTTTGAGAGTATTTAGGAGATCATTGTCTGCTTACGTGGACTGCGCATTTAGGCATTGATCATGATTTTCTGTATTGCAGCATCCACGTCCTCCAACCTCCTTTAACCTCTAAGTATGAACACCTCTACTACCTCCTCTAACCTTCAGCAAAACCTCCTCGATCACCACTTAAATGGAAAAAAATACGCCTAAACACCAGTTCGGCACCTAAGCTTTCTATAACATTGATATTTACTATCAATTATTGTAATTAAAAAAATCTCCTAGACTCTAGGCGTCGGGTCCAGTGCCTAGGCTTTCTAACGCTTTCTATAACCTTGTTAGTTATTATTTTGGCTATTTAGGATTTAAGTGTGCATAGTTTATTGTGGATCTAAGATTGCTATCTTTTTTGGTAAATTTATATGGATTTAATATATATATTTATTAAATATTATAATTAAATAATTTAAAATATAGCCAAACGACTAGCCGTTGCCTAGGCGCCGCCTAGGCAATATGCGTCTAGTAGCTAAGCACTGACTCAAATGCCCGGTCCGCCTAGCGCCTTCTGTATCATTGACTCTTTTCCTTTTCCAAAAACTCCTAGGAGTTGTAACCTCAACTAACTAAACAGCTAGGTTGAGTTAGGATGTAGTTGGTATCGCACGTGCTTCCAAATACTTCTCACCAAACATAACCTTATTTTGAATTCCAAGTAACCTTCCTACTTTAAATCATTTCGTTCTCTGACAACTCTTTGGAGCAGAATTTGGATGTAGTTGGGAATATACGGAACTCCAAATACTCTAAACGAAACTATTATGTTTACTTGTAAACCTTTTATTTCCATGCTAATTTTATTGTCTCCACATTTAATGACGGGCAAGTTAAAAATGGGAGAACAACTCTAACCTGCAGCTCGATATCTATAAGGATAAACTCTCAAAGGATCCAATTGCGTCACCATCTGTAAATCTTCCTTTGAAAGTTCACGGTCACAGTACTCTGACCTCTTCTCATAAGCAGATGCATTATTTCTTGCCTTCTCGATCAATTTGGTCATCTCCTCATATGCAGCAACCCTATCATTTTTTAGAAAATGGACTCGAGCAAGGCCCTGATGAGCTCGAGTGTGCCTTATCTTTAAGGCATTTATGTAACAATCTGCTGCCAGGTCTAGCTTCCCACAGTCCACATATACACTGCCAAGATTGTTCAGGGCCTGAAAGTTTATGATGAATACATTTGATTAGGAATATATTATTATATTGAAATGATGCATAAACATTAAACCGTGATATATTATGATATGTATTAGTTTCTAGAGCATAATCCAAACCAAACCAATATGTGAAGTTTAGCATCAAGTGTTTATGCCATGCATCGATTTCCAGCATAGTTTAATCAAATTTGGTGTTATGATAGGAACATAAAACAGGATTAGCCTGTTCATGACAAAGACAAGAGAATAATAAAAGTTAAGTGAAAAGGGTTTTCTCTTGTGCACCCATCAAACCTTTGGTATTTTATAAATTACCCCTGAATCCTCCACTCTACCTGCTTCGTGGTCAAACAATAAATGCATCCCTCACATTTACTGACTTAATGTCATCAAATCAAAAAAGAATATTGCTTGACCTTTCCCATATAATTGCATAGCAGCGCCAGGTTGTTGTTCAAATCATGAATTCAATTAAACCAAAAAAAAAACTAAAGTCTAAAACATGTGAGCAAACTCTATGACATGCAAAATATGTAAATTTTCATCATGATCTGTCCAAAGACACAACTCAAAAACAAACTTTGAGAGATAAAACTAATTTACATTATTGGACATATCCATCCTCCACTTCACTCAAAAGCATAGTCAAATGAGATGAGGGGAAAAGAATACGATAATCTTTTCTTAAAATGATTTCCCTTTTCTTAAAATCAAGAAAAGAAAATAAGTTCATTGCTTATTAAAATTTACGGATTCCTTAAACTCATAGAGGAATCCAGGACAGACTATAAAAATTGAAGGACAAAGATATAATACATCTGAGTGTAAAATAAATAATGTTAAATCCTATCACATTGAAATTTCAGCTTTGATCAAACAAAAGGCATCATGCTTATTTTCCATGGAGAAATAGTTTATATTGGCTTCCTTACTGTAGTATGCATTTTCTTTTATTGCTGCTGAACTCGAATCATTGGAGACCCTAGTTTATAAACCCCAATCTTTTATTTTCCCACATATTAATGCTAGGTCTACATTATTGATAGTGGGAATTGAGATAAATTGGAGCAAAAGAATAAACTGATCTGCAGAAAGTGTTCTACCATCCTTTCCACTTTTGACCTGTTAAGTCATTCTGAAAAGAAAATTCCAGTACTGACTGACTATGCTACATAAAGGAGAGATTGAAAATGCACACAAACAGAAAATAATAGAGGAAATAAAACTACATTTTGCATGTGTAAACTGGGTTAAAAAACTTTTCAACAGACCATCTCATGCATACATGGGGAATAGTATTGTTTACCTGACCCTTGCGGAGCCTATCTGAAGGGCATGTAAGTGCATTTTCAAGAAGTTGAACAACAGTGTAAGAGCTCGATGGATCAAGGATCGAATCGGCCAACACATAAGCTTTTAGAAAGAATGCTTCGAAAGACCTCTGAATGGAGATCGACTCCTCAGCTTTACGCAAGCCTTCCTCACAATGTCCTGTATCATAAAGAATCCAACCCTCATATACCAAGCGATCATGATCAGTGGTAGCATGCTGGCGTGCAAGTTGTAGACTCCTCATTGCTGCTTCTGGACAATTCAACCTAATAACTAAAAACAGTTAATCTATCAATCACGAACAGGGGAATTAAGAATCGATATGCACAAAAGATGAATGTAGCAGAATGAGAATGTTACGATGGACCTGCAAAGATATAATAATAGTAGGATAGTAAATGAGTTCATTTATAGGAGGGTAGAGATTGCTCCTATTAAGAATAAAATAAGAGAAAATTAATTGAGATGGTTCAGCCACTTGCTATGGAAGCCAGAAAATGCACCGAGTACAAGTGGAGATAGGATTTTAATCAACAGAGAGAGGATTAGAACTAGACCTAAGAGAACTTGACTGGAAGAAAAAAAAGAAGAAGAAAGGATATGCTAGTAGAGTAGAAGTGTGGAGGAGATATCCACAAATAGAACAGAATGGAAGTAGCCGATGTCAAATTTTGGAATAAAATGAAGGCTTTGTTGTTATAGAGAAGCATGATTTTTTTTAATATTATCCTAGATTCACAAAAGAGATGAAATAATACCTTAGAAGAAGCAATGACTGCCTAAAGTACAAAACACCTTTCGCTGCATCAGACTCAAGCATCTGATAGATAACAGAAAGGGAACCAATATCATCAACTGCGGACCATCGATCATAGAGCTGCAGCCAACAATCAGCAGTAGTCCACCGATCCACATGCTCGCGAACTAAGGTTCGTAACTGAGAAGCAGACGCCCTCCCTTCAAACATTCGATATTCAGGCGACAGAGTAAGAATTGCTTGGACATCAGTCAGTGCAGATTTATAATCTTCCAAAGCCAAATAGAAACAAAACCGGAGTTCCAAGCATTCCAAAGCCAATTTGAAACCCAGTATGCGATTTATTTCAGCTAGAGCATGTTTAGCATCTTGTTTTCTCATTAACGAAGATGCCCGATACATGTAAGGGTAAATCAGAGTAGGATCCAATTCTGTTGCTTTATCAAGATCTTCTAACTTTTTAGTGCTATCAGAATACAAGGACCTCTCTTGATACATCCATCCTAGAGGTTGATATGAAGATATCACAGAGCTGAGCTTCTCATATGATGAATGTTTATCACCCCGAATGCAAGATAATCTAGCCAAACCAGCTATAGAATAGACATGTCCAGCTTCAAAAGCAGCCCTAAAATGGTGTTCTGCTTCATGGTACTCTTTCCTCAAAAGTCTAACACACCCCAGCTGATGAAAAGCCAATTGTTTCTGCCTACTACTCACTGAAGACTCTACCAACTTCTCCAAAAAGCAAGCGGTAGCATCTGAGGTTGGGCCGGCATTCATGGCAACTTCACTTAACAAACAATATAACGAGAAGGAGGCTTTTCCAACCATGATTGACCTTTGCTGCTTGTTAGCATTAGAGAAGAATTTTACAACATGTTCATCATTCAAACAATCAGGAAGATCACGCAAGAACACTTGCAAGCATGAAGCAGCAAGGACAGGAGAATTTTCTTCCAGTGCACAGTCCATAAGATCTATAGCTTCTTGCCTTGAAGAAACCAAAGATGCCGCTTTCCTATCACAAGCATCTTTTAGCCTCTCGCAACAAAATTTATTTGCAAACATCAATATCTCTAGCAAAATATCCAGAGATAGATCGCTTAGAACTCCTGAAAAACTGAAGTCTGATACTGCTCTCATACCCAGAGGTGAAATTCCATTCTCAGACAAATCGATGACTTCAAGAAACGATTCTGTGAAGCACCCAGTGAGCATGGCTTTGAATGGAATTGACAAAGAAGCTATCTTTTGCCTATCACAAGCTATCTTCTCTCCTCCGATTTTGAAGAAAACAATAGTGGATCGCTCTCCTGTATTCAAATAACATGAACTAGTCACTTCAGCGGACTCATTGGGAATCTGAGAAGCAATATCCAATAACCCCCACTCCTGTGAGCACTTGCCGCAGGAAGCAATGAGATCCGAAATAAGCTCTTCGCCTTGCTTCTCATATTTCAGCCAAGCCCCAAATACTAGCTTCTCATGAATCGTTGTCGCCTTCTGAAAAGCACTATGCAAGCTCCTCTGAAGTAATTTGACTTCTCCAAGACCTCTAAATACTTGAAACTGCATCAAATAAAGATTTGATTTCTCATGCACTGGGCATGTCTCAAGCTCTTCATGGATCTGAGCTAGGACTTCTACATAATCTACAGGCTTAAACAACGGTAGAACCGGCGGTTCGGGAACTTTGATAAGGGATTCACTGCATTATCATGTTGAAATAAGAGAAATCTCACAAGAAAACAAGATTATACCAACAAAGGGAAAAGCGGATGACTTACATTGAGGAAGAAGAATGAGAGGAGACCTTCGAAAGCTTCCCTCTTTCAACTTGAAGCCATGATTGAGGATTAAGGGCATGCACTTGAGTCTCTTTACAAGACTCTGAGAACACCAGATTTCTCATGGGGCATAGAAGACAGAAAATCTCCCAAATCTCCACAATCTCCGAATGGGTATTCCCCCAATTCACTCAACACTAAATAATAACAAAAACCCAAGAAATAAATACAAATTAAAACACTTCTAACCCACCCAATAACTCAAAACTGTAGGAGAAAAACAAAAAAAGGAGCCTCCTTTTGGCCGTAGGAGACCCTAAATCTAAGGACAAAACAAGCCCTTTGGGCACAGAACCAATTGAAACGGATGAAGACGTCACTTTCAGCTGATCCAACAAAATCCCAATTTAAGATTTCACTAAATTTCAAAAAGTTACACAAAAAAACTGCAATTAAAGAAACCCTAACATGAGAACCCCACCACCACCAGCCTTGTTTGGTTCTGAGATGAGCGAATAACTCCACCTCATTAAAATCGATGAATCTCTGATCTGATCGACTCCTTAGTTGGCAAAGGAAGAGGAAAAAAGGCGTCCCTTTTTTTTTTTCCTTTTTTTTTCTTTTTATGTTTATTTCCTTCTATTCGACGAATCTGAACGAAGGAAAGAGGGGGAAGCAGTTGTGGGCATTTTTCTCATATACAACCTTCGTATGTCTTTACTTGTTTTAATATCCTCTATAGCATTAAAGTTTGGGAGAATTCTTTCAAAAAGGCCTTTTTTCAAAATTTTATTATCAAAATTGATTTTTTTTCTTTAATCAGTAATTTTGAGCAAATTTTAGCCAGGTCATCATTGCCGGTCAAAAAGTATGATTTTGCAAAGTAGTCACTTTAAGGAACACGAGAAACCGAGTGCAATATGATTAACGACCACTAATTAATGGCTCCTCTGATTCTTTTAAAATACTCAGGATTGTTAATTAGATTAAGTCTTAATTAGTAATCATTAATTACATAGGACTAATAGTCTGGTGTACTCTAAAGTCTCTATTTTGCGAAATTGACCAACTTATTTGGCCAAGCATGATGATGTGACTAAAAAGTAGTTAATTTTACTAATTAACATAAAAATATCGACTTTGCTAATGAAGTTTTTAAAAATATCTTTTTGAGAATTTCTACTAAATTTTGGTATTTTAGTTTATGTACCCAAGGTTTTTATCCTGCTTTGTGCTCAACCCACTGTCTTTTAGAGCTACTTTTAAACGCAAATAGACAAAACTCATTTATGTTTAAGCCCAAGTTATGTATGTCACTCATTTTATTTCTAAAAATAACTTAAATTCCTAAACTACCCTAATCTGTTGGAGTTGTAACTTAAAACTTGGGTTTGTAGAAGAAAAGAAGAAAACTTTAGTCCCACATTGGAAAAGAGATGGGAAGATAGACTCTTTATAAGCCTTCCCTTTCTCTCCAATGCCTAGAAGAAAACAAAGGTTATGCTCCACACCACACACGCGCGCACCGGCCGGGCTCGGGTTCGGGTCGGGTCGGGTCGGGTGGCGCGCGCACACGACCTGCGGACACGAATGCCGCTCCGGATTAATGGGCCTTTAATCTGATACATTTTTATTTTTGAATAATAAAATGTAATATTTATTAATAATTAAAATGTAATATTTATTTTTGAACATGTGATAAACGTTTTGTAACGGTTAAGAGAATTAAATTTTGAAACGGTAATATTCATGAGATTTAAATCAGAATCAAAACGGAAAAAGAATTTTTATGAGAATTAAATCGGTAATTAAAATGAAAACGGATTTTTATTAAATCGGTAATTAAAACCGAATCGAGTTTTTATGAGAATTAAATCCGCGGGATTTGTAACGGTTGTTTTTTTCCCCTATAAAAACCAACACCTGCCGAAGGCTAAAGATACAGATTTACAAACGAATTTCTCTTCTCTTCTTCTATTTCAAAATATTTGCTATTATATTCTGTTGGTTCCCTGAAAGTCTAGAAGAGTTCGCAAAGCCTTCTTGAAGCTCGTGCCGACGAGAAGGAGGTCGCCTGACCGAGGGTCGTTGTATCTCCGGGAACTTTTGCCGCGTAGCCCAGTACGAGAGGGGGCAATTAGTTTCTTGGGACAGTGCTTGCACGCCTCGACCATCAGGCTATATTCTAAACTCAGTTTTATTTTATATCTATTTTCAATCATTATCTAATTCTGTTAAAACTACAATTTTGTGCTAATTATACTCTAAACAGTTTATATTCCCAACAATCCAAGAAACTAATTTTGTGCTGCTTAGAATAGTAACATGATTAACATTCTGGTTTTTATGTTAATGTTGTCTGCAATTCTTAAAAACGAAATATCATTATCTAATTCTGTTAAAACTACAATTTTGTGCTAATTATACTCTAAACAGTTTATATTCCCAACATAATCATCTTCATCAAACCCCTAAATCCATACACCTCTTTGTAGTCATTTGGCTCATCCACCACCGACCATCCCCTGCGTCATTCGATCACGAGCTCTCTTTGTAGCCGTTTAGATTGCGAAGTTGGTATTAGGCTCTTATCGTAAGCCATAGCTCTCCTCGACATTTTAAATGAATGGATTAACATGATTGCATCTCATAATCGAAAAAAAAATGAGGAAAAAACCCTTTTGATAAGAACCCTAGTGATAACAAGAAAGAAATGAGTCGAACTTCTTATATCTTTTTCCCCCTTCCATTGACATTCTTTAATCATCTACTTTGCTTAACAATAATTTATTTAACTGGACATCAATATATCATTACAATGCAGTTTAAGAACAATTTCAAGAAAAAGAACATTCTTGCAAAATCATGCAAATCAAGTTGAAGATCGAATTACATTATCATTCTAAAAAGAGAATCAAAATAAAGAAAAAAGAAAAACTTGGCAGATGAAGATAATGTAGTGGATAGATTTAGCCTTTAGGGAACCGGGTTGAAGATGAAGACGAAAGATGAAGATTGTGGGGTTAGTTTAGGAATTTAGGTTATTTTCTAGAGATACATTGTATAAAATGCGTGAAATGCACAACTTAGGCTTAGACATAAAGTTTTTGTATATTTGGGTTTGAGGGTAATTCTAAAAGCCAATGGATTTAAACATAAATTAGGGTAACACTTTGAGTTCATAAACGAAAACACTTAAAAAGTTTGAAACAGAAATCAGTTTATTTAAAGTTGTTCAGTATTATTTCTACTTGAAATTAAAATTTTTAATACTCACTTGAAATTAAATATTTGAAACCGTTTCAGATTGTTTGAAATTAGGCACTCGTTTAAAAAATACACTCTAATCTAAAATTGAATATTGAATATTATAAGAGTAGAACAAACTCTTGTATCACGTGTCTAAAGTTTATGATAAGTTTGATTCCTTAATTAATTTCTTGCGATAGAGTTAAACTTTGAGACATGGTGTACTATTTATAGTCTAATACTCATCTTAGTAACTCGCCTTAGTGTTAGAACTCAGACACACATTTATCATTATTGTTGAATAGAATTCAATATTCTTGAATATAATCTAACTAGTGTGTACCATGTGCAAAGCACGGTCCTCTATTTTTTTTAAACATCACATTTTAAATTTGTCTTCCTCAAAGTTTTAAAACATTTGATTTAATTAATGTACGCTTAAAATTAAAAATCGTATCTACTCCTATATACTTAAAAATGATCTAAGTTTTAACACATTTGATTTAGAAATCATATCTATTCCTCTATACTTGAAGGTGAACCACATTTTAATACATTGAATTTGCTTTACTGTTTATAATACAGTAAATACTGTAGAATGAATAGTAGAATCAAGTATAGCGGCTCAGATTTGATTTATTGTTTATGATACAGTAAATTACTTTAGCATAAATAGTAACTTCGATCATTGAGGGACACATCTGATTTACTCTTCATGCTACAGTGATTTACTGTAGTATTTATAGTAGCATGAACAGTGATTTTTTTAATCATCCTATAAGTATAGAAAAGTAGATTGAGATTTGAATAAAAAATTATGCCTGTTTATTCAGGTTATGAATGGTATCCTCCGTGTCAGTGCTATTTTAATCATCTACTAGTACAAAAATTACCATCACAAAAATCTGAAACATCTAGAAGTTGCGGAGAAAATTGGAAGTCCAGACTTAGAAATATAAATCGCTAATGATGAGGACAGCTTGGAGGTGGGATCATGCAAGCACGGATTTTTGAGGATGCATGTGCAAAATATCTTGAGAATAAGCGGGCGATAGTAGTTTTTTAGTAATATTTAAATACATTATAAGATATGTCAGTCGTGTTAGTTTATTGGCTTTGTATGAAAGGCATCGGCACAGAGGGAATTGCTGAAGAAATTAAACTTAAAATAATAAATAAATGAAAGTGACTT